AAAGAATGCCCAAGTCACCACTTCTGGACAAGTTTCTAGCTATGTGTTAGCAGATTGTGCTGAACTATTAAAGTACTGGGAAAGTATACTGGAAAACAAAATGTAAGGGGACACTGCTCCCTTTTCATTATACTGCTTGGAGATCAGTGAAATCTAAAATACTCATGAGTGCAATAGAGCCATGTAGCCTCACAGCTCTTATGTATACAAGTTACCTTCCCCATTTCCATAAGATGTGAGTTTCCCTGATTTGAGGCAGTTAGGAGGCATAGTGGACAGAGGGAGAGCACAAGCTGAAGTCAGAAAGACCTGAGTTCAAATCCAGCATCAGACACTTCCTGGCTGTGTGACCTTGGGCAAGTCATTTAACTTCTATTTATCCCAGTTTACTCATCTATAAAATGGGGATAACAGTACCTGCCTCCTGGAGTTGTTGTAAAGATCAACTGAGATAATATTTGTAAAGCACTTAGCACAGTGCCTGGCACATAGTAGGTACTATTTAAATGCTTATTCCTTTCCCCAATATAATACTTTTTGTTCCCACTGATTAATGATGTTCTGAGATTCTTTCTTTTCTACTTTCTGTGCTTAACCAGTGGCTCAAGGTCCTAAAAAAGACAATGTGGCTTAAGTGCAAAAACTTGTGGACTTGGAGTCAGAAGACTCCTGGGTTTGAATTCTACCTCTGACATTGTTAACTGTTTGACCATGATCAAGGGATTTAATCTCACTGACACTCATTCCTTCAGCTTTAAAATAGTGATAATAAGCATAACTCTAGTAGCTACTTCCCAGTGTTGTCCTTGGGATTACATAAGATAATGCCTACTAAGTACTTTGGCAGCCTTAAAATGCTGTATAAATACCAAGAATAATCATTAAGGTAACTTTCTGAACTAAGATGAACATAGCTAAGCTAGTTTCATTAACTGTTCTGTCTTTATCTCATCCAAGATTCCATAGCCAGTGAGTGTTATTAATAAGGTTTTTAAATTTAATTAGTTCACAATATTTAATTAGTCTTCAATTCATTTGCATGTAATTAATAACCAATTAATTAGTTTAGATTATTCAAAATGCAACATTAAGGAGAGACATCAGAAGTGTTCTATTAAATTTTGGATATTAGATTTGGGACAGCCAATATTTAATTTATCAATTGTGCTTACTTTATTCTTTTAGTCTGGACCTGAGATAATATCTTTAATTACATGGCTCAGCTCAGGTGCCACCTTCTGTGTGAAGCCTTCCCTGAGTCCCTTACCCCCAACCCTAGCCATCGGTGCTCTCATCTTCCTCAAATATTCTTTGATCTCTTCATGTGATCTTTCCTCTACCTCTTCTTCACTCTCTACCCTGTATTATACTCAGCTCACGTTATATCCCCACCCACTCCCCAGTAGCTGCTTGAGGGCAGGAACTATTTTATCCCCAGTAACTTGCATATAGTAAGTACTTGATAAACATTTATTTAATTGAATCGAAATCATATAGCATCACCAAAGCAGAGGTACTCATAAGATGTTGAACAGCTGTTTGATAGCAGTAACATGCTCTGTTAGCAAACACTGCTGCCTCCAGCAGAGACTCTCTCTGATCCCTTCTGTCCTGCCAGCAATTAAATTAGCAAGATGTAATTGATGCTTCAGAGTATGGCTCTTAGTACCTTCCCCATTAATAGACCATATTTATATATCATGTTAAGGTTTACCAAGTGCTTTCCTCAAAAAAAAGAAAAAAAAACCTCTGACATATGTAGTGCTAAGTATTAGCACATTCATTTTATACAGAGAAGAATTAAGGTTGAGTGATTAAGTGACTTTAAAAATCATTGCTCAACTAAAAAGAAGTCACTCAGGTAATAAATATTTGTTAAGTGCCTATTATGTTCCAGAAACTAGGCTAAGTACTGGAGATAGAAAGAAAGGCAAAAGACAGACCTGCTCTCAAGGAGCTCACAGTCTAATGGGAGAGACATCATGCAAAAAACAAGCCTTATATACAGGATAAATTGGAAATAATCAGTAGAGGGAAGGCACTGGAATTAAGAGGCTTTGGGGAAGGCTTCCTATGGAAGGTAGGATTTTAGCTAAGACTTGAAGGTGGAGATCAGGGAGAACATTCCAGGTAACAGTGAAAATGCCCTGAGGTGGGAGTTGGAGGGTCTTATCTGAGGAACCACAAGGAGGCCAGATCACAGAGTGCATTGGGGAAGGGGAAGAAGTGTTGAGTGTAAGAAGACTGGGAAGGTAGGAGGGAGCTAAGTTAGGAAGGGCTTTGAACCCAACTCTGCTGCCCTTTCTACGATACCACACTGCATCTCTCATTCTCACCTTCTTCCTTTGTACATCAGTTCAATAATATATAATATAATATATAATGATACATAATATTTACTGCATAATATAATAAAATAAACACTAATATATAACAAATTAAATATTTTTATCTATGACAAATTTAATGTATAATATGATAAATATTTAATAAATGCCTACTCAGAACATAGTACAACTGTGTCTGGGAAAAATTCAGTACAGCCATGGCTATAGTGACAGTTGGATGACTGAGAAGAGGCCCATCACATTGGGAGAGGATGTCCTGTCCCTGAGATGAGTGCTGTCCTCAGCCTTACAGGGATTTGGAGGGGAGAAAGGTAGATCCTAGAAAAGGCAAGAGAACCCTGGGAGTGGCAGCTGGAAACTACTGCATTATCTGGAGGGAGGAAGTCTGTCCTCAGAATGACAGCAAGCACACCCCCTTCTCACAAATGCTGGCATCCTTCAGCCAAGGCCAGTTCTCAATGTTAATTACAATTCTTTACCTCCTACAGACAAGGTAGCAGAGAGAAAAACAGCAGTCCCTGTCCTCAAGTACCTTCTCTTCTACTGAAGGGATAAAACATATACAAAAACAATATTAAATATATAATACAAAGCAATTTAAGGAAAGAGAACACTAATCATGGGGGAGATGAGGGAAAGCTTCAGGGAAGAGTTAACATCTGGGCTGAATGTCAAAGACAGATGAGGAGGGCTTAGAAGGAAGCATTCCAAACATGGAGGACAGCAGTATGAATGTACTGAGGGAAGAAATCAAATGTTGAGTTCAGAGAACAGTCAGGTGTCCTGTTTGACTGTCATGTCAAGAGTGTGAAGAGGAGTAATGTCAGATAAGCCTGGAAAGGCTGGTTAGAGATACTCTATTATCTGCTTTTCCCCTCTGTAATTCCCCTTCAATCCTGCTATGCTTAGTTCATGAGAGGTTTAGGGGTGATACTGAAGGATTTCGAGGAGAGCTATGAGAGATCCTTAGGTTCATTAAATCTTAAGAGAAACACTACTGTATTATAGCCCTAAAATGATAGTCCTTTGTATTTACATAGTATTTTTATAGTTAAAAGTTCTTTTACTTACATTAGCTCGTTTGATCCTCATAAAAACCATTTAGGGTAGATAATGCAAGGTTTATTAACTCAGAAGGGTTAAGTGACTTGACCCCAATCATATAGTTAAAAATAATAGCAATTACTAGTGCTTTACTTATATTGGGCAGCTAGATGGTGCAGTGGATAAAGTGCCAGGCCTGGAGTCAGGAAGACTCATCTTCTTGAGTTCAAATTTGGCCTGAGCAAGTCACTCAACCCTATTTGCTTCCATTTCTTCATCTATAAAATGAGCAGGGGAGGATATGGCAAACCACTCCAGTATCTTTGCCAAGGAAACCCCAAACAGGGTCATGAAAAGTCAGACACAACTAAAAAACAACTAAACAACAACAAAATTATTTATCTCATTTGAGCCTCAAAACAATCCTATGAGGTGGGCACTATTATTATCCTCATTTTACATATGAGGAACCGTAGGCTAAGAGCATTCAATGACTTGCCCAGAGTCGTACAGCTAGTGTCTGAGGTAGGGTTCAAACTCACGTCTTCCTGATTCAAAGTCCAGCTTTCTATGATACCCAGTTACCTAGACTATAAATGTTTAGCTATTAAAAAGACAAACTCAAATCTACATTTGGGATGGTGGTACTATGTTGCAGGATTTGGAATGTCCTTGGTTTTGAATCCTGGACATGCTACCTAAATGGCCCTGGGAAAATCACTTTACCTTTCAAGGCTTCAGTTTCCTCAGTTGTATAAAGGGAATTGAATGAGAAACTCTCTGCGGTTCTTTCCAGCTATCAATTTATTCTATATGTTTATTTTTCTTTCACAGTTTCAAGGGAAAAAGCTTATTTACATAATACCTACCACGTGCCAGGCTCTGTGCTGAGCACTTTTTTACAAATGTTATCTCATTTGATTCTCATAACTATCACTGTCCCTATTTTACAATTGAAGAAGCCATGGCAGAAAAAGATTAAGTGACTTGCCCAGGGTCCCACAGCTATTAAGTGTGGGAGGTTGGATTTGAACTCAGGTCTTCCTGACTCCAGACCCAACATTCTATCCACTGGATCACTAGCTGTCTCAATGCCCTTAGGCGTATATACCACAGGCACATATCTATGCACAATGTAGGGTCCTGTAGTGGAGAACATACTAAGCAGTCCTAATACTTATATGTCTATTAATAGTGTGTGGATCAATTTGTTCATAATTGTACATCTTGAAATCAGTGATTTGAAAAGTGAATCTTTAAAAGGGTACATCTTCCTTGGACTTTGGCCTTTCCTTATTTAACCAAATCCAAAGTAATCATTCCATTTTAACAAGGAGGACACTGGATCCCATCCCTTTTAAAAGTAGTCCTGGGCCACCAGGAAGTCTTTGTCCAGCTTCTACAGTTGCACCTTCATTTAATGAATTGCTAAAGCAAGTCTAGCCATGTTTGTGCCATCCAGCACACTTGCTGTGTGTGACTGCTCTGTGGTAAGAAAATAACTTTATAGATATCAAGGTTGTCTGAATTCAGATGTCGTTGCATTGATCTCGTTTTTTGACTGGGCGTAAAATAGATCACTAATGGCCATCTTGTTTTAAATTGCAGATTACCGTATTTCGAATGGGATCAGAAGGACATCAGGACATTGATTTAGCAATCCTGACAGCTTTACTCAAAGGTAAGACAGCTCCTGGGTTCAAAGAGTAAATTTAAAATTAAAAAAAAAACCCAGCCTATAGATTATCTCTATAACCTTCACATTCATGTACAGTAAATATGGGGCTCAAGCAATAAATTATAAAACAAGCCAAATGTTGATGGCTGTGATGACCTCTACCTTAAGCTGTTGTCCCTACTATAAAATTCTTTTAGGACACAGGCATTATTATATTATTCCATAGATTTGAATACACTATAGGTCAAATAATTCCCCCTTTAAACATAGTAACTACATAGGATAAAAGTCTGATTCAATAGGTTTCACATATATAGTGGGTATTAACCTTGCTCCCCAACAGAAGTGCTAACAACGTGTCCCTTCATACTTGATTTACCATGGAGTTAGATGAGTTCAAATCCAAGCTTCTGGGACAAATCATGGCAGGAAAAATAACTGTTAAGGAGGATAAAAGAATAGGGAAAGTGTGGCTCCAGTTTCTGAAACCTCATTACACCCCATCACAGATCAGCCTTTCGCAAGTGTTCTAAATTACTTTGGCAACATTTGTCATCTCTTTCTACTCAATAAGCATCTATCAAGCATCAATAGATCAGTCAAGACACATTTATTAAGATCTTACTATGCACCAGGCACTATGCTAAGCTCTGAAGATACAAAGAAAGACAAAAACAGTTCTTGCCCTCAAGGAATTTATATTCTAAAGTTCTAGGCAATGAGGCAGAGTGGATAGAGAGTTGGTGTCTGAGTCCGGAAGTACTGGGTTCAAGGACCAATTCTGAACAGTCTGGTATGTGACTGTGGGTAAACTATTTCATCTCACTACTTCCCCAGTAACTTTCTAAGACTATAATTTACACAGAAGGTACTGATCTGCAATGGAAGATGGGATTTCCTCACTGGGAGTTGCATATACCAGTGAAATAACAAGGCAATCCCATCCCACATGTGAGGCAATTCATGACAGGGAAGGGAATAACATTTATACACCTTCTATATGCTAGGTACTACACTTAGCACTTTACAAATATTATCTCATTTGACCCTCACAATGACCCTGTGAAATAGATCCTATTACCCCCCACTTTAGAGTTGAGAAAACTGAGGCAAACAAGTTAAGTAACTCATCAAGGCTCACATCTAGGAAGTATCTAAGGCAAGATTTGAACCCAAATCCCGATGAACTGCCACATAACTGGGTAGCATAGTGGATAGAGTGTTAGACTTGGAGTCAGGAAGACCTCAGTTTAAGTCCTGCCTTATTAGATTTGTCATTCTGGGTGAATCATTTAAACCTGTCTCAGCCTCAGTTTCCTCATCTATAAAGTAAGGATAATAATATTACTTACCTCTCAGAGTTGTTGTGAAGATCAAATTGTATAATATGTGTTAAGCACTTTCAAACTTCAGAGTGCTATATGAATTATCATTGTAATTATTTAGTAGGATCGCAGGATGCAAAGACAAGAGGAAAATCAATTCTTGCCCTCAAGGAATCCATACACTATCAAGTAGGGGATACATCATTTACAAAGGAAGTAAATATAAGATGAATGGAGAAGGGAAAGTGCAATGAGATCGAGGGTGATGAAATGAAGTATTGTATAGGAGGTAGCTTCTGAGTTGAGTCTAGAGGAAAGCAAAGCACTATCAGAATCAGTGATGAGACCTCCATTAAAGTTGGTGACATGCAAGGTTCCCAATAAACCCAGCTCCCTCTAAAACAGAGATTTTTCACCTGTTCTGTAGAATGAGCCCATTTGGCCATCTGGCAAAGCCTATGGAGTGCTTCTCAGCATAATGTTTTTGAATGCATAAAATAAAATACGTAGAATTAGAAAGGAAACAACTTGTATATCGAAATATTGTGGGGGTCTTTAAAGAGTTCATGACCCCCAGGGTAAGATCCCCTGCTCTGAAACTACCTCAAGAACAATGTGAGACCATATGTACTGTAGGATATAGCACCTTACACAATGCCTGGCACATACTAAATGTTTAACAAATGCTGGTTAATTAATGTATGGTTAATGCACATGTCCGCCTCTGGGTTTTAGGTGACCTTTCAGTTCAGAGGCACTTTTGACAGTGAAGCCAATAGCTCTCAGAGCTTTTAGTGTCCCTACATAAGTAACCACTATGAAACCAACAAATAAACAAAAGGAAGATATCAACTCTTGTTACTTGGCCTCTAGTTACATGACACCTTTGCATCCTGGACCATTAAAGAATCCTGTAGAGAGCTAAGTTACTGGGTAGGTAGGTAACTCAGTAGCAGAGCTAAAATCCCAAAATTAACATCCAAGAAACAGGCTTCTGATCCCATATTCTAAATCCCTGTTCCAGCCTCCCTTGTCCAACTATCCTACTTCTAAGCATTTCTCAAATGTTTCATTCCCACAAAATGAAGAATGACACAGGAGTTGAAATGAACAATTTGGGCAGCATGGAATGAGCTACCATAATATATAAAGTGCCATTCGCCCTTTCAACAACAACAAAAAAATCCTTTCAATGAAAAACTGAGGTGATGAGAAGTCTGAGGCACATACTTGTCTGTAGTTTTTTATCTGCCGTTATAGAATGTCACGTATACTCCTAAACAAGTGAAAAATAAGACAAGAACAGTACATTCGTGCCTTTAATCCAAATCCAGTGGCAGCAGAAAAGTTACTGTCCTGTCTAAAACCAGGAAGTTCTCCTTGTCCCAAGTAACCCATCTAGACCCACTGATCAATCACTGGTTGTATTGTTTTCTTACTCTTATAACTCCCGGGGCTTCCAGGTTTAACTATCTTCAAGATTTACTTCATAGAAAATACGATAGAGGATTAATGAAAATTATGATTGCTCTAGGAAATTGGCAATTCTAATCACCATGAAGAACATTATGCAAAAGGGATGCTAATAGGGTTTATGCCATTAAAAATTTGTCATCTCTATTTTCTGATGGCTTTGAAATGCTCTCAAATGCTAATCCACTTGATTTATGAAGAGTTTCCACATATGCTCCCAGATGACTTTTGCATGGGCCAGCATGATCATCTGTGGGTATAAAAGAATGTACTTAATTCTATATCCAATATTGATTTTTTTAAAACCATGGCTGGATATTTTGCATTATTTCATATGTATATATTCTAGTCATACTCTAGACAGGTCAATATTATCCTCCTTATCTTTCATCTGAGAAAACCAAAGGAGAGAGTTTACCTTAGGAGTATGTGGCATTGTCAGCCATGACACTAAGCATAGGAACACTTGGCAAGTGACTGAAATAAATTAGAGTGGGCAGAAAACCTAAGCAGCTCAGTCAGAGTTGGGGGAAGTAAAGGAGGCTGATGGTATAGGGGAAGGGAGGGAAATGGAATAAATATTTATTAAGCACCTACTATATGCCAGTCACTGTGTTAAACAGTTTACAAATATTATCATCATTTGGGGGAACCAGGACAAGGCATGCATTTCCTAATTCTCCTTCATGAACGCTTTGTAAAGGCCCAGCAATTTCTTACCTAAGGATCTGGAAACCTCTGATCAGGGTGCCTTGAAGAAAAGATTTGAAGGGTTTAGAAAGTTTATATGAACTACAAGCTCAAAATTAGCCAGTGTAATATGCAGCCAAGCAAAAATAAAAGCTAACTCGGTTTTAAGCTACACTTGGAGAAGCATAGGATGAAGAATGAGTAAAGTAATCATTTCACTGTACTCTACCCTGGTCAGACCACTCCAGGAACATCATATTTTAGGAAGGACATGGAAAAGAATGCACCCAGGACAGTGAAGGAATTAAGGATTCTTGATTACATAGGATCATCGTGATGTTTAGCCTAGAGAAGAGAAAACTTGGGAGAGGAGTGGACATGACAGCTATCTTCAAATACTTGAAGAGTGGCTATATGGAGGAATGATTATATTTATCCTATTCAAGGGGCAAAATTTGAAGCAGTGGATGAAAATTACAGAGGCAGATTTAGGCTTGGTATAAACAAAAGCTTCCCAACTTTTCAAGGCAGCGAGGTGATGCATTAGATACCATGCTGCGACTAAAGTCATCGTGAGCTGTGTGACTCCAGATAAGTCATTTAACCTGTCTCCCTTAGTTTCTTTATCTGTCAAATCGGCATAATAATAGATAATGTAAAGATCAAATAAAATAATATTCATAAAGCTCTTAGCACAGTAACTGTCACGTAGTAGATGCTTAATAAATGTTTGTCCTCTCTTTCCCCCCATCCAAAAGTGGAACAGATTATCTTGGAAGGTGCAGGTCTCCCCTCTACTTGAGCATCTTCAAGTAGTGAAATGGTAGGGGAGGTTCTTCTTTCAGTATGAGTTGGATTAGATCAAATCTGAGGTACCCAACAGTTCTCAAGAGTCTGTGCTTCCAAGATTTCAAGGACACAGCTATCGTTGACCTTGTAACACAGTGTCCAAGACTCTGGTATATGCAATGCCTTAAAACCTTAAGCAGTTTACATTATAGCGAAGTGCACAAAAACCTACTCCAGGAAATACGTAGCTTAGAGGAACATATGAACGCACAGGCAAAGTCATCCCAAGTGATCCAGCCCAGCCCTCAAAACCGTCATCCAAGGAAGTGGCTCCTGTGGCACCAACTGCCACTCATAGGGCAGGCAAAGCAGCCTTGCTAAAGCAACAAGGTACCCCAAGGAAGAAACAGGGGGCATCATATCCTGAAAAGTCTCACCACAATCTCACCTCAGACCATGATGGAGACATCCCAGAACCATGAACTGAACCAAAGAGTCTTTGGAATACTGATGCTTTCAGCCCAGTTTTTGCAATAATCATCCTGGGAAGCAACTTCTGTAGAGAGACAGCCTGGCATCTGCTCCTGCAGGCGCTCCATCCTCTTCTGTTGAAGTCCCAGATATAAACATTCTTGCCACAAAAGTCCTTGACACTGTCAAATGGTTTAACAAGGTAAACTGGAATGGTTTTACCAGTGGAAATGAAATTAAAGAAGAGGCATCAAC